TTCTTCACTGCTTGCGTGGGATCTTGGCCTGTGACAGGGATGTTAATATCCGTGGACTACCAAATGATTAGATCAGATCCGGAGCTTCGTTGATTCATGAAGGAATCAAGAAACCGAAGCAATTATCTTGGCAACAGCGAGATAATCACTCTTCTCGAGATCAGCGCAACGGGGTAATCTCAAGGGAAGGAACCGAGAACTGTAGATCTGACGAGCTCCTCTTTTTTATGCTGATGAACTTGATTCAATCTCCTTCTCTCTTCTGAAATTCATGCTCCTTCAGTCTTCAATTCAGCAGGGCTTCGCCAACGCTCGAGAATTTCAGATCTGAAAAAATAAAGACCCTGGGACTGTATTTATAGGCTTTAGGAGCCATGTTTTCGGATAAGAACGATCGATTCACTCTTACCTTTAGTTATAACCACTTAACTACATTCTTGGATGATATTTTATCAGTTGGAACAAATCCAGACGGTTAACGGGTCATCCAAGACCGTTAACCTATGGGTGTCTCGCTGAGGCCTGGAGCATTGTTCCACGCGTTCTGTCCGTTTTTGTCGTATCTTCGTCATCCGAACTCGGAATTACATGATCCAAAGTGCGGAGGAAATCCAGCAAGGAGATCTACAAGCTCCTATAGTTGAATTATATATGGAGTAGATAGGGCAAGATGGGCGCTTCGTCTTCTGTGAGCGACACGTAGCTCCTGATCAGTTCATGTTTTTGTTATTCTGAAGCTTCGTTGCTTCACACGGTTTGTCGACTCACTGCATACACTTGTTGATGTTAAATAAGCTTCTATGACTCGAATAGTGACGTTCATCATCATCTCTCCGTCTCGAGCCGCGTGCGAGAACCTATAGGTATTTTTAGACGCCTACAGTTGGTCATAGGGATGTCATGTGGCGGAAAGTTATCTTTGATATAATGGCCTTCACTCACACAAAATTCCTACCTTATGGAGCCATTCTTACCAAAAATTTACCCATTTTGAAGTCAATCTTTCTGAGGAAACATCTCTTAGAATCACGCCATTTTTTGATTCCACTACCCTCAATAGAATGGGTATTCCTCCTACCCAATATGCATTAGATCATCTTCCTGCGTATGTTCCCCCACCTAAGTCATCTGAGTCTGCGTCATCTAGCTCTAGTGATTCATCTTTTGATTCCAGCTATAGAGCTCATCGCCACTCCCCTCCTGCATCCTCCTCCTGTATTCCTGATTCTACAACTCGTCATATCGACAGCCTAGAAGAAGGTGTGTATGAGCACTTGAGGGACATTAAACGTAGGTAGGAAGAAATTTGTGTTGAAGCTCAAGGGTGGAACCATGAGGTGATTAGTAGGATTGATGGCTTGGAGCAGAAACTTGATGTCAGTCTCAGTTTACTGCAGCCTTCTACTCCCTCCCCAGGTCTAGGACCTTCTTCTTCTTGATGCAAATATCTTATTTGGGATTTTTAGTATATGTACTTGCTTTGTGTTTCAGAACATTGTGATGTAGTATTTTCTATGTTTTGTGTATTGAAAACTATAAATGTGAGCACTTGAATGCTTAGTTGTTTTGGTTTGTTGATGTTGTGAACATGTAAGAGTTCTTTGCAAACTCTGGTTAATTTGCTTATATATATTCATGTTCATATTCTTATGCCACTGTGTGGTTGATGTTTTTGTGTGGTTTTGATTATATATATTCATTTTGCATCTTTGTTTAAATAAGCCCTTATCTATTAATATATGTCTTGTGTGGCTAACCATTCTTTGTTTAAATAGGGGAAGAATTCTCTATTTCTATATTTCTCACCCATGCTTACATTTAGGGTGAGCTCTTAGCTCTCATTGTGTATTTCCCCCCATTTTTGATGTTGCCAAATGGGGAGAAAAATGTGAGTATATTATATTTATTTTTCGCTTTATTAATTTTATCTGTATATTGGTAAATTATTTATCATTATCAAAAAGGGAGAGATTATTATCCTTTTTGTTTTGATGATGATTTTACAAATAATTTATGACTAATATTGGTTTTAGTATTTTGGTTTTGTGTTGTTCAGTATATCCAAGAAAATGAACTACACTGATATAGAAGCCTTGCAAATCAAGTCTATCAAGCCTGTGCAAATCAACTCTATCAAGTTCAAGCTTCATATGATATCCTCTTGGTATACTTAGTATAGGTTTATATGTAATGTGTGCTATTTCTTCAAGCTCAAATCTTACACACACATTGGTTTGTGAAATTTCTCAAATCATAGGTGTTTTTATGCAAAATATATTTTAACATGTTTTGAACTATACAAACATTATAAATATATTTTATTGAGTCCATAAAACCATTACACAAGTTTTCAAATTTTGATTTGAGCTAAATATCAAAATTAACATGTTTATGTACACATGTATTTTAGTGTTTTTGAATATTACTGAGTTTTCACAAATGGAAAGAGCAATTTGAAAAATTTCTTTTCTAACATGTTCATATTTACGTTTATAAACTTTTCCCAAAGTTTTACATTTTTTAGAATTTATTTGCTATTTTTAAAAGAGGTTTGAAATTTGTTTTTACTATTCATAACATGCTGAAAACCTGTTATCAGTCGACTGATGAACTCGCCTAGAATTATTAAAAGTTTTTATTTTTACCACTAATAAACTATCAATCGACTGATGAGGTCATCAGTCGACTGATGAGGTCATCAGTCGATCGATGAGCTGTGAGTTGCCTGTAACGGTCAGCTCATCAGTCGACTGATAAACAATATCAGTCGACCAACGCCTGTAACGGCTAGTTTTTCTAGACTTTTGTATTTTTGTCTTTTTTTTAGGTTTTCTTGGTTTTTGGGCTTTAATTTTCGTCCTATAAATATCCCTTACTGTTTTACTTCTAAAAATCATCTAAGTGGGTTTTAACAAGAGTTTTAAAGGGTTTAAAAGTTTGTTTAAGTTTCTTCTTAAGTTTTGGTGTTTGTTTACAAAGAGGAAGCTTACATTATCAATTGAGGAATTCATCCTCAATCACTCTCATCCTTTCTTTGTGTTTAGAGAGAAGTTTTTCTAACTCATTTATCTATCATTTTATTACTGATTTTTCATATTCATACTATTGTTAGTTTGTTATTTGAGTTAGATTTTATTGAACTCATTTTATCACACACATCCCCATTTGAGCTTTTAGTATTTCATACATTATATATTGGGTTGTGGGATTGTGATATTGTGAGAGTGAGCTTACATTATGTTCTCATCCATTATAGAGAACAAATCATTTGTATTTGAGCCTTATTGTGAGTTACACATTGTATTATACTTGTACACCGAGAGGAGTGTGTGGTGAGAGACGGAGTCGGTTCCAAGAGGAGTAGGTTCGGTAGTAAAGCCTAGCGAGAGGTTGTAATTCCGAATACTTGAGGAAGGCGACACGGGCTAGACCAACACTTAGAGGGTGTAGAGTGTGTTTACTTTGTGTGTGTTGTAAACGTTTGTCAGTGAGCGTTGAAAACCGATTGTGAACGTTTTGGGTGAATGTCGAAAACCCGTCGTGATAGTGGATTCTCCCCGAGAGTGGGGAGCGGAGTCGTAGGTTAGACGATTGAACTCCGTGATCATATTATTGTGTTTGGATTGCTCATTGTGTCCACTATTTTTTTATATCGTTTCGTATTTATTTTTCCTTTGCATATATATCCTTGCTTTATTTCAATCGAATATATATCTTGCTAGGATATATTTGTTAATAAGTTTTAATTGGCATTAATATCGAATTAGATTAGCATTCACCCTATTCACCCCCCCCCCCTCTTGGGTGCTTTCAGATCCCGATGTACTTGCTTCACTCATGTTGATAACATGATCTCTTCAAACGAGAATCCTGTAGAGAATCCTCCAAAACGAGCCCCAAGCCAAACCCGAAGCTCTGATACCACTTGTTGTGCGTAGCTAAATCGAAGAAATGAACACAACCAAACTGAGATAGAACCACAACCAATAGGTAAAATAAGAACCAAACAATGCAAGAAACAAATTTTACGTGGTTCGGCAATGTGCTTACGTTCACGGGGCAAGGAGGGGATGGATTTTACTATTAGAGAGAGTACAAATAGAGATTACAAATTCACTCAAAACTCACAAATTAATCTCTCAAACAAAGCTCTCAAATCTCTCACCAAATCTCCCAAATACACGGATCAAAAGTCTCTTTTTTTTGCCTTAAGAAAACCCTAAAAACGTGTTTCAATATATATCAAAACACAAACCAAATCAGAACAGGAAACGAAGCCCCGGACCAAACCCAACAAGTGGTCGACCGCCAAAGTCTTCGCGGTCGGCCGGACAGAACACAGAAAATTTACTTTGAGTTTACAGGGTCTGCGGTCGACCGCAGAAGTCTTCGCGGTCGACCGCAGAAGTCTTCGCGATCGACCGGTTAGAAATCTAGACCCTACCCTGTATTCGTGCATGTTTCCAGTCGACCGCACATGTTACTACGATCAACCGGCCAGAGGTCAAAACTGACCCTGCTTCAATTCTTCTGAACTTAATTTGTCGCTGTCGTTCCTAATTCTACACCCATCATAGGCACAACCTTAGCAAAGATAAAACTCAAAACATCCAAAATTATAATTGGAAGAAAACAAATATATATCAGAAGAAAAAATGAGCTTCATCTCGTGAGCATTGTCTACATTCTCCAGACGACTATACTCATTATTGTCATCTTTTTTATATAAATTTAATAGGTCTGAAACTACAGTGGAGGGAGATCAGTTAACAGCATTAACTATAAGTTTGAGTGATTTGACAACTACCACCTCATTCGACGATAATAAGCAGCTTGGAGGAGAGCAAGGGATAGTACAAATATCCATTTGAATCCCACATAAACAAGACAATGCCTACATATGATTTTGATTTTGTATTATTGAGTCATAAGGTTTTTTAATTATTAATTATTTAGTAACACTATTTTTCAGAATTTAGATCCACCACTAACATTTTTCATAAAATTATAATATCTAAGATCTTGATTGGAAGTGGCTTTTATGCAATTAGTACTGCCACTTAATTTTACAAAAATTCTTACTTCAGTTTGATCATAAAACCAGTATGATACCATTTAGGCAAACAATTTGCCATACAAAACTATAACATGTTTAAGTATACCATCAACAATTCTAAACTCACATACAAACAAATAATATTACACTCTCCCATTAATCTTACTTCAATCCTTCATAAAATGCCTTCTTGAATCCCTCCATATTCTCAACCTCCATCTCCATAACAACGCTGATCCCCCCATCATTCTCCTTACTACTCAACAAATAAGCAACTCCCCTCCCACACAAAGTATTAGCTCTCCCCATGAACTCCGGCTTCCCCCATCCAAAATCAGCATCATATATTGGCATCCCGAGCCAACTCACAGCATACAAATCCGACTCCCTCAACGACCATCCTTTGCCGTCGTTCCCCAATTCAAAATAGTCGATCAACGATCGAATATACTCATCATTCACCTTCGCCAACGCCCTCCCTACTTTCTCTCCGGCAAACTCCAGCGGCTTCGACATAATCTCTCCGGCCTTCGTACCCTCCGACGTACGCACAATCGCATTGCCGAAGTATCCTTCTGGCAGCGGGGGGTTCAGCTTCGACCGAACGTTGGCGACCGTGTAGAACCTCGTGTCTTGGTCGGGCGCGAGGTTGCGTGCAATGCACGCGGACCTCCAAATGTGCGCGGAGACAGCGCGGAATGTGGACAGTTCTTTAACTTTGTGGCCGTTCTGGGGGTGTTTGGGTTGTTTTAGGGTGCTGATTTGGTGTTTGGTGAGCGGGAGAATTTCAGAGACGGAAGGGCCAGGAGGGGACTCGTTGGGGTCGTGATTGGGCTTGTATTCGAAGTGGTCCACGGTGACGGTAGGTGGCGATCG